CTTACTCTGGTAGTAAATTATTAGTACTTCAGAGGGCACTGTTACTTATTTAAATTGTAAATTATTAGAACTTCAGAGGGCACTGTTACTTACTCAGATAGTAAATTAGAACTTCAGAGGGCACTGTTACTTACTCAGATAGTAAATTATTAGAACTTCAGAGGGCACTGTTACTTACTCAGATAGTAAATTATTAGAACTTCAGAGGGCACTGTTACTTACTTAAATAGTAAACTATTAAAACTTCAGAGGGCACTGTTACTTACTCAGATAGTAAATTATTAGAACTTCAGATGGCACTATTACTTACTTAAATAGTAAACTATTAAAACTTCAGAGGGCGCTGTTACTTACTCAGCAATGGAGTACCCAAGAGGAATGATGCACAAGACAAAAGATAACATCAAGGCAATCATGAAGAAAGCATTGGAGCGAGAAGCTTTGTATGGAATCTGGGAAGGCTCATAGATCACCATCACAGCAAACTTAAAAAAGAAACAAAGTTCATACATATCATCTGTCAATACTAAATTATGTTCAGCTATGCTCACTGAGGGTGGAAAAACGTTTTTTAAGTCTAAAACAACCAAACCTTACTTGTGATTTCATATACTCTAGAACAAAGCAGACTCAGCTGTAGAGCACAGTGACAATATAAAAACAGTTCTGGACACCTTCTTAGTTCCTGTCTTAGAGAATAGCAAGAACTTGAACATATGTCAGAGCAAGAGGGTACGGTGAGGCAACATTCTCTACAGGTAATCCGTCCACTGCAGACAACTGAACCCCAGATTGCAAGTCCATAAAGTTACCACTGATCCACCAAGGGACCACAACAGATAATCTGTTAACGGTAAAATAACTCTTTCACCTACACGTCATTAAGCCACCAGACATACCAGGATACGTTTGGATAATTACATATACACACTCGTCTAAAGCCTCAGCCCCCAGCTCTAATAAAATACTGTATTTTTCGGTGTATAAGACGCACTTTTCTACCCCAAAATTTGATGTTGCGTCCTATACACCGAAGGTATGAATAATATATATATATACGATATATATAAGCCATGTGTAAATATATTTAAATAGGCATGCATAGTTTAGTTCAATTGAATGTGTTATTTATAACAATAGTAGTTTTTTTTTCTTTTAAAAACATAACTATTTATAATGCTCCCTAAATAATAAAAAAATAAATTATTGTGAAAGCATTGAAGATTTTGTAGGTTTTGAACCAAACTAAATAACAGTAAACCTTTTTTTGATTTACGGTATTTTCTTATTTTGATGTTTTGAGCTCTTTTGTGTTTAGAACAATATACACTAATTTTTAAAGTATCAAATTGAATTTTAGTTCAATAAAAATCTTTCTAATGCGACTGTAGCTTTTTTCCCCCCAAAACTTTGTCTTCAAAATAAGGGTGCGTCTTATATTCCGAAAAATACAGTAACAATAACCAAAATTATGTTAGTTGAACATTTTTAAACAGTGATTTACTACATGTAATTTATTATACTAGTGAAATAACTACAAAAAAACAAGTTAAAGTAAATATTGTAAACTAAGTGTTCAAAATGACTAACCCTAAAACATATACTTGCAATTAACTCTTTTATCATCAACCTTAGCAAACTATAAAAATAACTTTAGCTTTTGAG